TTTCGCGTCCGGCGTCGGGCCGCACCCCCCAGTATTCCGTCTTTACCGGACCGGGACCGGGACCGGCAACGGGATCGCAACCCTTGGTGTTGCTCCCACACCTCGCTCAGCCAGTGAGCAGGAACCGGTCTGTATGTGGGATCCGAACCCTCGGCAGGAGCGCCACCGCGCTCTCAAGCAGCGCACTGTAGCAGTGCGCCACCGGGCCGGCCCATTGGTCAAGTTTTTAACAGTCCCTGTAAAGAATAAGTTTGGGTTCTCAGAAGTTTTAGCTTGATGTGGAAAAAATAACGGATTGTACTAAAAAATAAAAGTTGTTTAATTTATTCTACTTTTCTCTCAATCACTAGGTTTTCTTCAATTCTACAGACCTATTAGATTAACTGTCCAAAAAGTCCCCCAGAAAACTGGTGAAACTTTAAAAAATTTTAGCCTGTCTGAATTTCTATAGCTCTTTTAGGCACAGTTTTATTGCATCTCAGATTTTTATTCTGAATTTGCAGTTTCTATTAGATACTAAGGCGTACTTGTTAAAGTTACACAGAAAGAACAAGCAGACAAAAATAGCAAACGTAGAAAATCAGAAACTTACAATGTGGTCCTCAGTTCTTTACTTGGAATTGTCCATAATACCACCATTAAAAATAAATTTTCATTCTCATTCAAAAGCAATCCATTATCGTTTTTCCTGGACTTGGAATGTGCCAAAAGAGCTTCCACTGCCTTTCTAATCTGTAAAGTGGAGATGCAAAAGAAAGTTAAATATTTCTCAATCTAATTTAGGAGTTGCCCCCTCTTCAGGCTCCCCCCCCCCCGCAACTTCTATTTTAATAGGCAACCTCCACAATCGTATCCATTAGTATTCTGCAACTTGGAGGAACAGAAGAACACATCAAAAAGGTCCAAAGGTATCCGCTTCTAGCACTCGTGTGCAGAAAGGCGCCTCTTCTACATAAGAGGCTGGGCCAGACGGAATCAAGTTTCTCTTGCTCTCAAAGATGAAGACAGTGATACCAGGAAAAGCGCGAAACAAACCGCAACAAGCATTATTGAGTACTCACTACGAGCCAGGCCCCTGGCCAAAGCGTTTATGTGCATTACTTCCTGTGATCCTGGAGAACCCACGGCAGAAGGGCCCATTTTAAGTAAGAAGGTAACAGGCTTGCAAAGTTAAATGACTTGGCCGGGGCTAAGCGGTCGGGAAGCAAAGCCAGGTCAATCTCACCCCCAAACCCTAAGTTATACCTGCAATCCAATTCAAGAGAACCAAGCCGCAGGACTGGGGGAAGCAGGCGCCCCCCAGCGCACAAAAACGGACCGGCCAGCTGAGACGCACGCCAGCAAGCGACCCTCGCAGAGCGCAGGGGGCGTCCACGGAGGCGCGGTGCCCGCACCCCCGCGCCTCACGAGGGCCACGGCCACCCCGCTTACGAACCGCCCTTCCCAGGGGCCACTCGCCTGCTCTTTATCCACATGCTCCGGTGTGGTCGAGGCCGCGGGAGTCGACGTGGAGGTCGCAGTCGCGGCTGAGGTTGACTGCAGCTTGGACCCCGAGACCTCCATTTCGCCCTCTCCTCACGCAGACGCACGTGCGGAACCCCCCCAGCGGGTCCTTTGTGCGCACGCGCGAGCGAGGCTGGAGCCGGAAGTCAGGGGTGAGCACCGTGCGCGTGTACGTCATTTCCGGCAGAGCGCGGGATTCGGGCATCGCGCGTCTCGGCGTAGTGGAAGTGGGGGCGCAAGCAAACTGAGCTGGTCGTCCTCCCTGCTGAGTCTGTCTTGAGGCGTCCCTTCTCCTTCCGTGCTGTTCCCACTTTCCACGAGGCGCGGGGAGTAGCCTGGCGACGCCTCTCTCTCACTCTTACGCGAAAGAAATCGAGAAAGCGCCTGAGGCCGGAGAAGAACCTAGCGGGGTCCCCCGCTCTCTGTGGCCTCCGCCTTTGGGCAGGCCGCGCGGGGCCGTGGGAGGAGCGCGGAATCCTGGCTCCACCGCCCACATGCTGGATGACTTTGGGCGACGGCTCCCCCTCTCCCCACAGCTGGTGGGGATGCGGTGAAATACTAAGGCACAGGAAGCACCAGGCGCGTCGTTGTGCGGCGTGAGCGACCGAAGGCTGAGCCAGACCTATGTCTTAGGAGCTTGCGGTCTCCTAGACAGGCGGGAGGTAAGAACCTGTACAGAAAAGCCCGGAGGCTGGCTAACGGACCCATCGGGAATGGTAGGACGTCTCCCTCCCACCCCATCCATCTCTCCACAGGTAACCACTGTTACAGGTGTCTCCTGGAACCTTCCAGAGATGTTCTAGGTATGTTTAGGAAATGTTTCCCTCTTTTTCTCTTTGTGGATGTATGGATTTAAGTTTTATCTTTAAATACACACCCAGGAATAGTAGCCTAGTGTGTCCATTGTTTTTTTTTTGTTTGTTTGTTTTTTCCTTTTGTCTTTTTTCGTGACCGGCAACGGATCGCAACCCTCAGTGTCGCGCCCGCACCTCGCCCAGCCAGTGAGCTGCCGGTCTGTATGTGGGATCCGAACCCTCGGCGGGAGCCCCGCCGCACTTCCCAAGCGGCGCACTGTAGCAGTGCGCCACCGGGCTGGCCCCCCCCCCTTTTTTTTTTTCCATTTTTTCTTTTTTTTTTTCAATGTGTCCATTGTTTTTGCTCCTTGCTTTTCCCTCTTAATGTATCTTGGAGGATGTTCCAAGTCAGTCCATGAAGCTCTACCTCTTTTTTAACGGCTGTATGGCATTCCACCATGCAGCTCTACTACAGTTTATTTAGGAACTTTTTGAGGAACATTCAGGATGATTCGTCTTTTTGCAACTAGTTAGGTAAAGTTTTGAGAGATGACAGAATGAAGTAGGGGACTTTCCATGTCAGTTGTTTTCAAAAAGTGCTCCTAACATGAAAGGGTGTTCTGCTAATCTCTAATACCGGCCTTGTTTTTTCAACTTGTAGAGGAAATGTTTTTAAATCGTTGGTACCTGCCTCCACTCGTCTATTCTAGAATCTAATATAAGAGGAATTAGTTTTAGCACCATGTTATGAGTTGTTACATTGGGCTTCGTGTACTAACGTTTTCTAGTATTCTGAAAAGAGCGTTGGGACTGTCAGATATTCTGACCCGAATTCAAGTTTGAGAGCTGGACTTTTAAGGCAAGGAAACAGCATGAATTCAGGTGAAAGAGCACGGAGGTGTTGTTTGGAAGCAGTAAGTTGCTGGAGCAAGGATGCACAGAAAGGAGAAATAGGAGATGAGGCTAGAAAAGTAGGTTAAGGAATTAACTCGTTATCAAGTTGAGGGTTTATACTTTGGAGAAAGCATTAAGATACAGGGCTTTTGAACTGGTGGTAGGGAAGAGAAGGTGCTGATGAATTATACTTTAGGAAATTTGGTAATTTGGCTGTGGTATTGTGGTGGTTTTAAATATGTCCACAAATTCTTTGATACTTCTCCCGTCAAGTGATGGAGCTTCATTCCTCTCCTCTTGAGTGTGGGCTGGGCTTAAGTGTCTTGCTTCTATCAACTAGAATATAGCAGAAGTGATAGGATGTCACTTCTGAGATTAGGTTATAAATAGACTATGGTTTCCACTTTCGGTGTTCTTTTTCTCTCAGTATCTCCCATCCTCATCACTTGTGAGGCAGCCCTGGAGAGAGAAAAGCCAGCTGCCATATTGTGAGGATACTCAAGCAACCTGCCAGCAACCACAAGTGAACTTGTGAGTGGATTCTCTCCTAGTTGAATCTTGAGATAACTGCAAACTCGTGAGAGAACGTGAGCCAGAACTATCCAGCTATGCTGCTCTCAGACTCCTGACCCACAAAGGCTGAGATAATAAACGTTTGTTATCTTAAGCCATTAAATTTTGGGTAATTTGTTATCCATCAATAGATAACTAATAGAGATTTGTAGACCTCCTGCCTTCACTTAGAAGTCCTATTAGGACCTTACTCTCAACAAGTCCAACCATGAACTCATCATCTTCGCCTCAAACCTGCTCCTCCTCTTGTGTTTTCTGTGTCAGTTATTGGCACCATCAAGCCGAATATGGGAGTTATCCTTAACTTTCTTCCTCATCCCCAGATATAGTCAATGCTTAAGTCTCGTTTATTCCTTTTAAATATCTTTTGCATTTATCTAATTCTTTTTATCCCTGCCACCTTGTAGAGCAGGCCATCATCGTTTTTTTGTTTGTTTGTTTTTCTTTTCTTTCATAGATTACTGCAACAGGCTCTTGACTTGTCTTCCAGTCCCCAAATTTTGCATCTTATAGTCCATTCTCTGCTTCAGCTGGAGTGGTCTTTGTAAAATGCAAATCTGATCATCAGACCTGATCATGCTTAACCACTTTCATTGGAGTAACATTGTCATTTGCCTTATACATTTATATCCCAGTTTGCATCTGTTATCTGGTATCCTACCTAGTTTAGCATTTGTTCTGGAAAAAAGTGTCCCAGTTTGAAAAATAAATCATATGGTCACCCTCAACAGGCTAGGCACTCTTCATCTGGTCCCTCCCTTATAACCCCCCAACTTCATACCCTGCTACTCACACCTTCAGTCTTTAGGTCCTAGTTTCAGCTCTACAGTTTCCACTTGTCTTCATACCTTCCAACATGCTGGTACTTCCTGGAACATTACCACTTTCCCGTATCACCATCCCCCATCCTTACATGTATTATAACCCGTCCTTCTGATTTCTGCTTCAGGTTACTTCTTCTGGAAAATTCTAGCTTAGACTCTCCTCCTCTCCTGCCCCAAAACATTGGTAATTTTCCAACCATAATTTTCTCCCTGGTTTGAGGATAAGCTCTAAGAGGGAAGGGGAGAGCCAATTAATGGCAGGAAAACTATAAATGATATCTTCACCATTGTATTCTTATCACCTATATCTTATAAGACATAGTTAGCATTTCTTTATAATAGTCTGAAACAGGGCTTAGGAGGATGAGCATAGGAAACTATTGCAGTTTTCTAGGTATTAAGATCTGATAGTATGGTGAAAGCAGTGAAGACAAAGTACCTATAAGACTTGACCAAAACTTAGATATACAAGGAGAGAAATTCAGACTGCCCCCAAATTCTTGAACCTGAATAATTGGACAAATGGGTGGTATTATTAATAGAACTTTGGAAGGAGCAGCAGATTTGGAGGGAAAGATAAGGGATTTTTTTTCAGTATTTTGAGTTTGAGTTTCCAGTGGTACATCTAAGTGGGTCTGGAATGTGGAAGGAAGGAAATTTAGAAGTCATCTTTACAGATGTGATGGTTAAAGCTGTGGAAATAGATGAGATTGCAAAAAGAGGTGTAGAGAAAGAAAAGGGCTGTGAGGAAACCCTCAATTACATACCGGGAGGACAAAGTGACAAAAAAGAAATAGTTGGACGTGTAAAAGAAAACCCAAGAGGATACCATGTTCCAGAAGCCATGAAGAAGTGGAAATATTTGAGGATGTGTTTACACTGTCAAATACTGAAGAAAATGAGGAGAATACATAGTGATAAAAGGCCATTTTGGGGAGACAGGTCATGGTGACTTTATAAAAGCAATTTCAGTGTGAAAGGATTATGAGGAATGGGTGAGAAGGAAGAAAAAAGGAACATTGGTATATTTTTAATTTTTACCATTGGGGGAAATGAACTGAATAAAACTTTTGTGTCTCAGGCAGTTTGTTATATTAGCAATTCTTATAAATATTCAGGAGCTCCCGCGCCTCGCTCAGCCAGTGAGCGGGAACCGGTCTGCATGTGGGATCCGAACCCTCGGGCGGGAGCGCCGCCGCGCTTCCCAAGCAGCGCACCATCCAGTGCGCCACCGGGCTGGCCCCGGTATATTTTTAATTTTTACCATTGGGGGGAAATGAACTGAATAAAACTTTTGTGTCTCAGGCAGTTTGTTATATTAGCAATTCTTATAAATATTCAGGATAACATATATAATAGCACTTATTTATTACTATACACTTATTCATTACTATATATAGCATTTATTGAATTACTTGTTAGCATATTTGGTTTTCCCACAGGTTGAACCTCTGCAGGGTGGTGACTTCGTCTTACTCACTTTAAATCCATAGTCCCAATTCATATGTAGGTGCCTGTCCGAGTTTACAGTTTACCAGGGCAAAATAAGGTGTGGAAAGCAGGATGTGATAAATGCTGTGTAAGTGCTAAAAGGTGCTACATAGAAAGATGACTAAAAATTGAAAGAATAGCAGTAGCAAGAAGAATTCCACTCTAAAGTTAATGCTTCCCCATGCCATGGTAGTAACTATTTATTACTTTGTTTTCTCTAGTAGATTGAGTTCTTCAAGGGCCAGGGCTGGTTTAGTAATCTTTGTACATACACAGGGCCAGCTTGTCACATAGTGAGCAAATGCTGAATGTTAAAAGAAAGAATGAATCCCATCCTGCCTTCTTTTGGCTTTGCTCCTAACTTTCCTCCTCTTATTCTAATATCTTCATTATCTCCTTCTCTTTTGATAGCTAACTTTCTGATTCATATGTGCTCTTTTTAAGAGATAGTATTATGTTGCTCCTCTTTCCTTTTTTAAATTAAAAAAAAAAGTTTTTGTCCTTTTATAGTCAAGTGTCTTAAAGTGATTTCAGCTCCCCCAATCCCTTACAGTCTGGTTCTAATCACACTATTCCCTCTAAAGTCACCAGTGACCTGCTTTTAACCAAGTACAATAATCTTTTCTAAATTCTCATTCTTCCTGACCTTTTTTTTTTTTGAGACCAGCTGCACCACGCTCAGCCAGTGAGCTGGTGACCGGCCATCCCCATATAGGATCCGAACCCGCGGCGGGAGCACTGCTGCACTCCCAGAGCCGCACTCTCCCGAGTGCGCCACTGGCTCGGCCCTTCCTGACCTTTTATATTTGAAACCATTCTCATGATTCAGTGACATTTTCAAGGCATTTTATTCCAGCCTAAATTTCTATGTCTGCTATTTATTAAGACCTGAGTTAGCTATTACTGAGCATTAGTTTTAAATCTGGGCCATACATCTGCAGAAATGTACTCTTTTTTTCCCTCTGTGTCATAATATGTTATTTTATTTAACTTTTGGATTTATGCTGGAAAATATTTTTCTCCATAAATTAGTTCTTTAGAATGAACTAACCTGAAAAATTAATCCATATTATTTCATTATGTTTTACTCCAGTAGTGAGGGGAAGTATTTCATTCATGAATTAAATAACTTAAAATTCTTAAAATGCTATCAGTTCTACCTTTAAAAAAAAAAAAAACTATTCAAATTCAAGATACTATATGAGCACACACAAGATTAATATCTATGTAAACTAGGCAGACTCTACATATTAAATTATTTGTCTGTTCTTTATCCATTGAAAATAAAGTTTTGAAATCAACATAGTAATTGCTAGCCAAAATAAATGGCATAATACTTGTAACGGAATAATATAGTCATAATAGAGGAGATTAAGTATTAACTCGTCCTAAACCAAGTATAAGAATTTTTAAACATTATATGTAAAATAACATCTTGGAAAGAAATCAAAGTAATTAGAATGGACATTTCTAATAGAACAATTGCTAACTTTTATGGTATAATTTCTTTTATAGTAAACATACATTAAGTATCAGATGTTAAATGCATTTTGACATTTGAGTACCCAGGTCTCACTGAATACCATGAATACTATTAAGTTGTTTCTCTCAAAGAGTACTGAGATGTGTCTTTTTGAACTTCTTTTTTTTCTTTATAGTTGGACAGCCATGGGATCCGAACCCTTGACCTTGATGTCATCAGCACTGTGCTCTAACCAACTGAGCTAACTGGCCAGCCTCTTTGAACTTCTTGAAAAAAAAAATTTTTTTTTTCCTTTTTTTGTCTTTTTTCATGACCGGTAACGGGATCGCAACCCTCAGTAACGGGATCGCAACCCTCGGTAACGGGATCGCAACCCTCGGTGTCGCGCCCACACCGCGCTCAACCAGTGAGCGGACCGGTCTGTATATAGGATCCGAACCCTCGGTGGGAGCGCCGCTGCGCTCCCAAATGCCACACTCTACCGAGTGCACCACCAGGCTGGCCCTTGAAATTTTTTTAGTAGTTGCAAAATGTGCCCGCATAACAAAATGGTATTAACCATTTGCGAAGTAGTATATGATTTTAAGGATCTGATAAATAATAATACAACTACCTGCAAAGAATGTTTGAATATCTTGCTGGATAGTAAATAAGTTTAAGAAACTATACACTTGATAATGGAACTTAAATTCTAGTTACTTCCAAATAAGTATTTGCTAGAATTAACTAGTAAACCTAGAAAACTATTAGCTCTACCAAGTCAGAGTAGTTACAAATGGCAGAGTAACAAAAGAAATACCATATAGTCAATTATCCATGATATGTATTATTTAAAAGCAATTTTAAAATTTTATGTTACTGTCCTCAGAACACTCAGTGTATTCCTGGTAATGAAATCTGCTAGGTGATAACCTAGGCATAATGGAATCAAGTGGTGAAACAAGGTTGCTCAAATATGGAACGTGACATCTTAAGGAAGATATGAAGAATGTGGTCTTTTTGGTCAAAAATATCTGAGTCTGAATCCCAACTCCATGATTTATTAGTTAATCTCCCAAGCCTCAATGTCTTCACCCATAAAATGAAGCTAGTTCTCCATAGGACTTGCCAAGAGAATACATATATCCACATAGTGCCTGGTACCTATGTAATAGTACAAGTTTAGTTCTTCCTTCTGCCTTTTGCTGAGAACAATTTAATCATTTAAAATGGATTGGGGGCCGAGCCCGTGGCGCACTCAGGAGAGTGCGGCGCTGGGCCGCAGGTTCAGATCCTATATAGGGATGGCTGGTGCCCTCACTGGCT